TGAGTGGCTGAGATTCAGGATGGTGGGATCCTCAAGTTAGTGGTTTTCCAGGGTAATTGTATTACCAAGTGTTAGAATGCAGGAGACAGCGCTCACGCACTAGAAAAGGTGGAGTTGTGACCTTACAGGGCAGGAGGGTTGGTGGTTTGATCTGCAGCAGTACTTAAGCATGATTAATCAACTGAAGTTCTTAGAACTGAAGTAGCTAGAAAATATATTAGAGTTATAATTGATCTGTTACAAGTGATGAATTTCTAGATGAGCTGAACAGAAACTGGTCTTGCTATCACAATGCAACCTATGACTCTCAATCAATTTCTATACTCACTCATTTCATAAACATACATCCTCTTAGACAGGGCAAGGGTATATCTGTACCACAGGGGAGTGATTTGAGTTTTCTAAGCTCTAATGGGAAAAGAAAATGCATGAACGCCTGGTTAGGCTGCCACAGCACTAACCACTGCCTAAGTATCACCTCTCCCATAATAATAGCTTGATTTTATATTTCCATGACTTTGAACACTACTAACTTGGGGAAATACAGAGAAAGACTGACCCAAAGGTACTACTGGTCTCAATGGGGTTCCAGGCCACTATAAGTTATGTGCATGGAGATTGAGAACCATCCCTCTAAATAATTTTATCTCACTAATTAGAAAATATTCATAGGTTATATATAATCTACCAAACTGCAAATCTATCTAAATATTTATTATCTATCTTCTTATTTAACCATTTTTCATATATTACCCATCATGTAAATCTTTACGTGTGTCATCTTTCTACCATTATCCATTTTCTTTCTTTCTTTCTTTCTTTCTTTCTTTCTTTCTTTCTTTCTTTCTTTCTTTCTTTCCTTCCTTCCTTCCTTCCTTCCTTCCTTTCCTTTCTTCCTTTCTTTCTTTTTCCTTTTCTTTATTTTCTTTCTCTTTCTTTCCTTTCCTTCTTTTTCTCTCTCTTTCTTTCTTTCTTTCTTTCTTTCTTTCTTTCTTTCTTTCTTTCTTTTTTTCTTTTTTTCTCTTTCTCTCTTTCTTTTTCTTCCTTCCTTCATATTTTATATCTAACCTATTCAGTTGAGCTTATTTCTTTATATAATGAGCTGTTAAGGCTGCTGTACCTGTCACTTGAAGACAATAGAACTGTTAGATACTTTATCATATGAGATGTGACTGAGACAACCAGAGGAGCAAAGATGTGAGAAAGCCACAAAGTAGACAGAGATAAGTTTACGGAACAGATCAAGAGAATGTACTGAAGACGAAATGGGAATGGAAGTTTGCCCCCTGCTCTGAGTAAAGACTGAATTCACAACTAAATTGAATAAAGGACTACTTCCTCTACTCAGCAGTGGTTTCAATGTAGTTTTTCGAATACAATGTTTCATTTATTTATAAAAAACCATTCTTATTCTTAAGGGAAGAAACCTTATTTAAATAGAAACAGTTATAAATGATGCTATATCAAAATGAAGTTTCATTATGGCAAAAGAAATTCAAACTAACACTAAAGATACCTCTACCTAAAGGAGATATTTGCCACACAGTGTATCATAAAAGTATATATAAATTTATATATTCTGGATAGATATATAAATCTTACAAAGTTCAGTAACCAAGAAATCATAGCACCATAAAAAATCTGAGAGAAGAACAGAAACTTTCATAAAGAGGACTTGTGTATGGCCAGTAACTGAAAAAACATACATCACCATTTTTTCTCAGGAAAGCAAATATAAAGAGATATCATCTCACACTAGGAAGAATAGCTTAAGCGAAGAACATGGGAAATAACCAGTGGTAGCAGAAATGTGATAAAACAAAATCCCCATTCACTGCCAGTGGGAATGTATCCAGTTTAGTGACTACAGAAAGCAATATGGAGATTTCTCACAATTCTGTAACAGAGCATTCATATAATCTGACAATATCACATTTTGGCATTTGCTCCTCAAACACAAATGATTAATTCACAAAGAAAAGCACATTTATGGTAATTTCAGTATTTAGTATAATAGCCAGATTATGTAAAGGATCTCAATGTCCAACAGAGATGAATGGAAAAGAAATCATGACATGCATGTATACATGCGAATTTACAATGGAATACTATGCAGCAATAAGAAAAGAGGAACTAATACAGTTCCTTACAACCTGGATGGAACTAAAGGTATCATGTTAAGTAAAGTAAAAAAGGGAAGAATAAATACCAGGTATTTTAATTTATCTATGGTACATAGGATAATAAGACAAGTGATTGGAAGGTATTAAATGATGGAGAACTCTTGGCCCTGTGAGAGTGGCAAGGAAAGAGGAGTGTGTGTGGGGGGAGGAATAAGGAGTTGAACTGGTTATAGTCAAGAGTCTTAGACATTTCGGTGATATGCAGATGAGATAGTCACATACTTTAAAACCACAAATGTCAACACAAGTGTAAGCATATGAACTGAGTTATAGGGAGCATTTTGTTTTTACAAATATACACAAAAACTGTGTTTGCTAGTGAGGCAGCGTAGGGACAGGGAGGGAATTTGGGGTCATTTGCGGAGGAGGGAAACATACTGGTTGTGTATTTGGAGTTAAATCATGAAATGCCTAAAACTCTGTCATCAAGAATTTTATAAATTAATATCACTGCAGTGTCCTCCTATTCATCGATTTGCTCAAGCGGGCACCAGTAACGTCTCCATTTTGAGACTTGTTGTCACTGTGTTTGGCATATCAAATACGTCATGGGTAACTTGCCAGGCTTTGCCATGCGGGTAAGATACTCTCGGTAGCTTGCCGGGCTCTCCAAGAGGGGCGGAGGAATCGAACCTGGGTTGCCCAGGTCAGTCGTGTGCAAGGCAAACACCCTACCGGTGTACTATCGCTCCAGCCCTAATGGATGAGTAAAATTTAAAAATGAAAGAAATATAATGTTAGCATGCCATGCATCAGTATTAGTCATAAAAGATAAATATTTAGCCAATGAATGGTATGAAATAATAGGAAAGCAATTCTGTTAGGAAAACTCTAATAACAGTAGGTAGCATAGGTTAAAAATGGAATAAACCCTCTTGAGATGTGCTAAGTGAACTGTCTGTGCATTTTTCTGAGTGGGGTTGCAACCTGGAAGAATAATCTGGGGATTTTGTTTTGATGTGAATATCCTCATTATTTATTAACTTGGTGTTTGGCTTTATTTCTGGGGGTTCTTCAGTTCACAACTACTTAAATTTTGAAACTCTCTTGAGCTCTTAGTGATAACAAATATTGCTAAGTGCATTAATAGGGACTGATTTCAACTTAAACAGGGTATTACACAAAATAAATTGGTATATTTTAATTTTTAATTAATACATTTTAACCAATAGTTCTTATAGGATCTAAAAACTTAGTTTTTATGTTCGACTAGTGTGACTTTTCGATGACAATCTTAATTTGTCATTTAGAATGAATTTTAAAATTTACATACCATAATGCAGACAAATGAAACTAATATTTCTCCTTCTGAGATCCTAAGAGACAGTACATATCCTGTTTCCTCCCAGTCTCGGTTTTTCTGAGTCTGAATTCACCAACATGCTGAGGGATTCCAGGATATCTGCAATCACTTCTGTTTCCCCGGTTTCACCAGCTTCTCTACTGCAGATACCTACTTTCTATTTCTCTGAATGGTGAAGTGACTCAGAATTTGCCTATTAGATTTATGGATACTTAACACTGTACCACAGGTGCTACAGTAATGTCAATGTAGGTTAAAATAAATTGGTGCATTATATAGAAGAGTGTTACATATTTATTACCACACATATCTTTATCCCCATATGTTTATTTCTGCATATGAGAGTATGTATTTTTGTCAACCCAAAGTGGCAAACCTTTCCAAACCAACAGATGGCATATAGAGTGACTAAGATTCATTTTGTGAATCCTTTGCAATGAACAGAACCAGTAGTATTTTGGGGAATTTCATTTTTATAGAGAAACAAAGAGCAATGAATGCATGCTCATCCCATCTTAGGGGAAGTTGAAGAAAATTTGGTTTAATTTCAATGTAACACACAAAATAAAACTCCAAGTAAGGTGCTTTGAAAACCAGAGTTGTCTTGTCTCTAGTGCCCTTGCCTGCTCAGCTCCTTTCTTCTCCCCTTTTCCTATCACCTAAGCACAGAGAACCTCACCTGGACTTCTTCACCTGACTTCTGTCTTCCCTTCTCTCTCAATTCTCAAGGTCTCACATTAACACCTTTTGTAAATGTGCTTTCCACTGTCTTCTGCTTCTACTGTGCCCCTCCCCCTTCTTCTGTATTTTGTCTACAGGTCCATGTCACATAGTCACGCCACACCACACACACACACACACACACACACACACACACACACACACACTGCAGGAGACCTCTGCAGCCAGAATAAAGCTCTTGACTGGATGTTTACTTCCTCCTTCTTTGGGTTAATGATTTTAGCCTGACACTAGACAATGTTCCCTTCCCTGGAGAAAGAACTGGGCAAATGCCCTTTGATCCAAACTTCCATGTGTCCTCATCCCAGACAGTCCCCTAGGTGTGTACCCTATGGTATGTCAGATAATCAGGGAGTATCAGAGTTACCTGGGAGAGTTCATGGAAATTCTAATGGGCCCCATTCATTATAGCCAGTCATGTACCTCAGTACCTGTGAGTGGGTAGTCCACACTCCTTGGGCTTCATTCTTGCTATTCAATATAAGAGCAACCTGTAACTGTGTATCTCGTGGTGATTCAATTTAAAGGGAAAAAATAGCAAGAACTCTTACTTTTATAGGGCCTGTGAAGACCCTTACAAACATGTGAAGTGTCTAAAGTATATGGAAAATTGGTTTTTTAGAATAAAGATCTTTTGGGAACAAGATTTACTAAAGCATTTCCCCTAATCGAAAAACTCTACATCTATGAATGCATTTGGTGACTATAAATTGAAAGGGAAAACTAGAATAAAAGACTATATAGTAAGTAAAGCTATGAAACAATACACTTACCACTTCTTCATGGGTTGCATGTTCTACATTAATGCCATTAACCTGAATAGATGACAAATTAAGAATTTGAAGATAATAATTGATCACTATAGGTTTAGAATAAAAATAAAGCAAAAATAAGAGCAGTGTAAAATACTGACCTGCAAAACAGCATCTCCTATGAACAACATCCCTGACTGGTCAGCTGCAGGGATGCAAAAGTGGCAAAATATTAGGAGAAATTCAGTGATATCATGATTTTCTATGGCATAAATTAAACTTTTAGATTTGCATCATCTTAAATGATTTGTACATATCAGGGTTGGGTGTATGATGTGTGCTTGCACATATAGGTGAACGTAGGTGTGAATGTGGTGTGCACAGGTGTATGAGCATGTGTGTAAGAAATGTATGCGTGTATTGTGGCTGTATGTGTGAACATGGTATGTGCATGTCTTTGGAAGCAAGAGTCAATATCAGTGGGAAAATAATGCATAAGTGAGAATGTGTGTACATATGTTATTTGAGTGTGTCAAGTGTACCTGTGGATGGGAAAATGTACATGTGTGAATATGTGTAAACAAGAGTATGCATGTGTGCCTATGCATATCTGAAAGATCTACGCAGAACATAGGTGATATTAGAATGAGTCAATGGGTTGGAATGTGTGTCTATGTGGTTAGGTATGAACAAGGAGGGTCGGAGAGCCTGTGGGTGGGTGTGTATACCTGAATACTTGGGTGAAGTACTTGTGTAGCATTGTACACGTGTGGGAAAAATGCAACAACACAGCAAAGGACCTCACTCCTCCCCACATCAAGTTAAAGATGGCCAATTTTAAGCACATTAAGAGAGTTACTTTCCAAATACGGAAGACTTGTTTAATAAGGACCACAAATGTCACTTCTTTCTAATGAAGGATTTCATTATATCATGTGGAAAACCTGATTCCTATTTTTTTATTGTTGACAGACTATAAAATTGGAATCCCAGAAGCCATTTAGCATTTCCACTTTTTCTCAGGAACAAATTTACACAGACTGCTTTAATTAAAGAGATTGTGCCAAGAATATGAAAGGAAAAGTAAAGAAAACTTTATATTGCAAAGTTTGAATATAATCTCTATAGTGTTACTTCCACTTAACCTTTCTATTTTCAAAAAGGAAGAAAGACAACTTCTTTCAATAAAACTGAATAAATTTGCACAAAATGTAAAGCATTTTATAGACTTTTTCGGCCTTTATATTGATTTAATTTTATGTCCTTGACCAAATATTGAAAACCAATCAAAATGTTTTTCTTTTAATAGAGTAATTCCATTTAAATTCTACAACCATATTTGATGTCAAATACTAAAACTATTTGCAGTTCTTGAAAGGTATTGTATTTTTAAATAAAATATAGCTTTTATTACTGAATGTAATAGTACTGGTTTTAGGTAACAAAGTTTCTATTTACACTAATAATTTTTCTAGAAACAAACTTTTATGACCTATTCAGATTGATCTTTTGATCCTTGACACCCCTTGGCCCAGTTCTGTGCTGAATCTGAGGAACATAACAAAACTGACATTAGGAATTCAGCTTCTACCAGGTAAAATGAAGGAATAAAAATCCACATACAATGTTACAGAAGTTTGAATTTTGTTTATGATAACAACTGTAAAATTTTACATGATAAAATCCGCATCCAAATACCTATGACACAATATATGAGAGGGATAAATGGTGATGCGGGGAATTTCAGATGCAGGACATTTTATAGGGCATAAAGACAGAGAACAGGGTGATGTACATGATGTGGAATTTGGTGTGGAATAGGGGGAGTGATATATCATGTATATGATAAAACATGGGGAATGGTCAGTGAGGTGTGGGGTGAGAAAGGGGTGATGTATGTATATGATGAGACATGTGGTAGGGAATGGAATGACATAGCAGTAGGGATGGCTTGGTGCATACCAAAGGAAGGGCGGGCATGGAAGTCAAATCTTGTATGAGATCAGAAAACTGGGCCTCTGAAAGGATAGGTAGGATGAAAGATGGATGGTCTGACATGAACATAAATCACGGTTATGGGTTTATATCTTATTTTGCTTTGTATAACCTACAATGGTCGGACACAGAAGAGCCTCAATTTTCACTTGTTAAGGAATTTATTAATTCCTTGCCTCAATTAAGTTCAATGGAAGCTTAGTAAACATGAATGAGAGAATTCTAGACAGATTATGGTATTTTAACCATTTATTTTTTCAAGCATAAAAGAAAGCTAATTTGTCCCCATCTTAAATCTTTGCACAGATCAGAAATATTGTATCCTCTTTAAAGTATTATTTCCAAGTACATAGTTCTGTGTTTTGGCCACAGTAATAAGCTGCAATTTTTTTTGCTAACACACAACTAGCTGAAAATATCAGTAAGTGGCCTGATAGATGGTAATCATTATCATTATTTAGGTGAAAGCACTTGCATCAATAAAAAACATCACAAACTATGTGATGTGTCAGAGAGTAATCTTCCAGATTTTAGTAACACCATTTCAAGACAAGGTGTTTCTTGTTCAATTGTTTTACCTCGCATCCTGCACTGACATGTAAGAAATCAGTTTCTGGGTCTTCAGATACTCTGGCAAAACAAATATCAGGTAATTGTGGAAAGTCATTAAATATGTGTAATGAAGGGGATAATGATAGTATAAAACAACATATGTTGTTAATCACTCAGGGCCAGCACAACGAGAAGCGAATGAAGCTATTTCGGACTCTTTTTAAAACCCCAGAGAGAATGCCACATTGTGCTTTGTCAACAGGGACAGGTGTGTCGAGAGCCGATAGAACAATGAAGACCAGACTGGAAGAGCAGTTGCTTTACCCCAGTGGAAAAGAACTTTATCTGGACAAGATTTGCAGAGCTATGTCCTGATCAGGAACCAGATCTGTTTTGCTTCTGAATGGTCAGAAGCTAGTTAGAGGGCAGATCATGAGCAGTATGAGAAGGTGTCCTTGTCACCCTGGGACGCAGGACAGGCTCCTACTCTGACTTTTGTCTCTTTGATCTGAAGTTTAATCAGATGAAAGTGAAACGCGATTTGGACCTGTGTGGCTAAGTGTATGTCTATCCTCCAGCCACCCACTTCATGGAGTCAGGTTTGCTCATGTCGAAGTCTGATTTAGTAAAGCTTTTCACAGACCTTGAGAGCCTGCTATGGTTTATCCAAGGCAGTTTCTGTTTTATATGGGCTTACAGTTCCCCGGGGCCTAAGAAAAACCAAGCCCTTCCCACGCTTCCCCCAAGACTCATTCCTCATCTCACCCTTCCAGCTCAGACAGTTCTCAGTCCTAAAGCTATTCCTGAATGGATGTCCTGAGGGACCCAAGCGCAGTGAGCCCAAGAGCAGTCACACAGCACTGGGGATAGGCATTTGCCTTGCAGAAAGCCACGTAATATAGTCAAACCCAGTTTGATCCCTGGCACTATATACAGTCCCCAGAGCATCTCCTGAGCACAGAGCCAGGAATAGTGCCTGAGCACTGCTGGGTGTGGTCCCAAGTCCTCTACTCCTCAAACAAAACATTATTATCAGGAAATGAAATAAAAATGCCAGACCAAATTTAGATAAATAGCAAACCACTGGTGTCAAACTGGATTTTCTGAAAGAAATTGTGACTGTCTTCCTGTTGTTCATTGATTTGCTCGAGTGGGCCCAGTAACGTCTCCATTTTGAGACTTATTGTTACTGTGTTTGGCATATTGAATACGTCACGGGTAGCTTGCCAGGTTTTGCCGTGCAGGCGAGATACTCTCGGTAGCTTGCCGGGCTCTCTGAGAGGGCGGAGGAATAGAATCTGGCTCAGCCAGACTGGCTGCGCGCAAGGCAAACGCCCTACCGCTGTGCTATGGCTATCTGAAAGAAATTAACAGATCAAATTAAAATCCTTAAAAACAAAGAAAGTAAAGAAAGATAAAAGAAAAGAGGAGAAAGATAAGGAGAGAAAAAAGAAGAGAAAAAGAGAAGAGAAGAGGAAAGAAAAGAAAAGAAAAGAAAAGAAAAAAAAAAGAAAAGAAAAGAAAAGAAAAAAGGTGTAAGGCAAGTGCCTTCCCAGCTGTACCATTTTTCAGGCTCCTAGGGGCAAATAATGGAGTGAAGTTGACACTGGTAGTTGCATTTGTGCTGGAATATCATCTGCCTAAAATTCAACTACGATTAAGTTTGTAAATCACAGTGTCGTAATAAAAAAGAATTCAATCAAAATAATAAAAAGGTACAACTCTCCAGTGATGGCAAGTTACAGGCTTGAGCTGTAGAAAATCTGCTCGATTCTAATGTGATGAGAAAATGCTGACTTTCTCCCCTCCACCTTCTGTTCTTTGAGAAACCAAGTGCCCTGTAATTCTGAGCTGTTAATACTGAACCAAATATTTAAACAAAGAGGAAGTCCCAACCCCCTTCTCACAGTAACAGCTACCTTAAGCTGCTTCTGCTTTTTCTTGTTTTGGCTTTTTGGCCTTTTGGTTCATGTCCAGGGATACTCAGAGGTTACTCCTGGCTCTGCACTCAGGAATTGATGCTGGTCATGCTCAGGGGACCATATGGGATGCTGGAGATCAGACCCAGGTTGACAGCATACAAGGCAAAAGCCCTACCCACAGTACTATCACTCTGGCCCCTTAAACTGTTTCTTTTTAGTGATTTCTCCAGAGTGATAGTAGCACATTAAGCTTCTAGAGCTACTGATATTTTGATTTAAAATAAACCATCATTTTAAAAATCACTTCCAGAACAATCAGGTTCTTAAATATATTGACTTCAACTATTCTTGAGACAACTTGGCTCAAGCATTATACAAAATTGTCACAGAACTTTAAATAATTTTCTCGTGTTTCAGTTCTAATTATAGCTGAATAAAAAGAGAGCAAAGAAATGGCCGCATGCCATGTACTTACACTTAGCCATTAATAAAGTAGATTTAAATGTAACATAAGAAGAAAAGTGTGACCCCTTGTAAAATGTTGACTTAAAGCCAACTCTGCCAGTTAATGGAAACACAGTACAAGGGCCGAGGAAGACAATCTTCTCTCCACCCCTTATTAAGTAAAAGGTTAATTAGAAAAGACTTTCCAATTATATCTTTGAAGTGCTTTCCATTTGAGGGACCCTTTTAGATCTTAAAAAAAAAGGCATTACAAAGTGTTCACATGAATAAT